CAAAAGAAAGAAATTAAAACTTTTTGCTATGATATTTACAGACATTCCCAGAACTCCTGACACATTCATTACATAGATATTGTTATAAATGAAAGACTGTATAGTATTGTCAAGTTCTGATAACCTATTGAGGAGATAATTAAAATACCATTTTGATTAATCCAAGCCATCCCTACATAGACAGTACTACCATCTGCCTGATAGCATTAACATCAAAAGTAAGACTGATATTAAGTAATAGTTGCAGTTGCTGTTTTCTTGTCTACTTCATTAACACTCGTTATATTTTTTCTTTTAATTTCAAGCCTCTCTCTCCAGAATACTTTCCAACTGATGATACTAAAGTTAAAGTAGTTGTTAGATGCTATAATATTGTTGGAATGACCTTGAATGTATTAATTTGTTTCTTCTCTCATTTATCTTCCCAAAGTGGATAAGGCAGTTGAAATTGCTCATCAAGCTTTATTTGCCAACATGGGTCAGTGTTGCTGTGCTGGAACAAGAACATTTGTTCATGAAAGTATATATGATGAATTTGTCAAGAAGAGTACAGAAAGAGCTTCTAAAAGAGTTTTAGGTGATCCCTATGATGAAAAGACAGAGCATGGACCACAAGTAAATTACCAAAAAACTTGTCTATGAATAATGAAATTGTAATGCATGTTGTTATTATTATTATTATTATTATTATAGTTATGAATTTAGTGGACCTCATGAAGATTGAAAGTCTGTTTTATTAGTTAGTTATAGTACAAAAAATCTCCAATTGGCTTGACACTATTGTAATGGGTACAGTAAATTATTTGTATACTATGATGATGTAACTTCTTTTTAGACTATATTTCCATCTCTGCTTATTACTACATAGTAACTTATTTATGTTGAAGGTGGATCAAGAACAATTTGATAAGATTATGAACTTGATCGAGTCAGGAAAGAAAGAAGGTGCTATAATCCAGTGTGGTGGAAAGAGATTTGGTTCTGAGGGATATTTTATTCAACCCACTGTCTTCTCAGATGTTCAAGATTACATGCGTATAGCTAAAGAAGAAATCTTTGGTCCAGTCCAACAAATTCTCAAATTTAAGACCATGGAAGAAGTAATACAAAGAGCAAACAATACCCATTATGGACTTGGTTCTGGAATTGTAACAGAAAATATTGACAAAGCCTTAATGTTTGCTCAGTCTGTGCAGGCAGGCTCTGTGTGGTAAGTAGCTGTAAAATAGTACTCAAATTCATAGTGTTACTACATTTGGCTTGCATATACATTAAGTTCAGTGAAAATTAATTTTTACATTAATGTTTTTCTTTTTGGAAATTATTTTTAAAGGTATTTATTCCATATGTATGAAATTTTTTATATGTTAATATTGTAAATAATACAGTACATAAATTTCTCATCTATGGTCCTTAAAATAACAACTTAGTTATAAGCCTTTGTATTTTTAAAAACTTGTTTGGAAATCTAGCACCTTAAATATACATTTACATATATATATATATATATATTTTTTTTTAATTCATATTACTTTTTATGTAATTATAACTGAATATTCAATGGTTAGTTATCCAAGTGAACAAAGATTGTAAAGATAATTAATATACATATATCATCTGAGTAAATTAACCAGATCTTTTTTGGTTGATTTTCTTGAATTTCAGGGTCAACTGTTATGATGCAACAATGGCTCAGACACCATTTGGTGGATTTAAGATGTCTGGACAAGGACGAGAACTGTAAGTAGTTTGGTAAATTTGTTTCAATATACAAATACTTGATAGATTTGATTTTTAGGTTTTTAAAATAATTAAGTTTGGGACTTTTTTTTTTTATAAGATTTAAAATTGTTAAATATGTATGTTTTTACAATTTAGTTGAAGAAAATAAAAGATATGACTGCTATTGACTACTTTCATAAATGCTCACATTAATAAAACCATATTTATTGATCTTCTAGACACCTCTTCATATTGTTTCTTGTAATATATTTGAGGACTTTGGTTTTTCGAAAGAAAAAAACAAAATTATGCATAAATTAAAAACAAAACAAGAAGGATAAGTCATTAACTTCCACACTTCATGCTCTGTAATATTATAGAATTTTATACTAGAGTTCTTATACCATTTAAAGCAGTGATCATTGCACATGCAAGTATTTAAACTGAAGTGTTGGAGTTTCAGATGTATGGCTTCTGCTTTTTTTCTTTGTAGAGTTCCCCCAGGTTACTATAGTTTCTAAGTACAAGCGTTTTTGTGTAGAGCATAGACCTTTTTCTGTGCCCTTCTGTGTGCATCAAGTTTTTGATTTTACAGTGTTGAGTTAGTCTAGGTTTTGATGCTCATCTTTAAGTATAATGTAGCCAGTTTTGTTTTTCTTTACTGAGACTTAATTTTCTGGATGAATTTGTGGCTTTTAATGTACCATAACCTTGAACTAAATTAGATTTTAGAACTTGACAATTTCTGTCCATAATACTGAACTTCACCATAACTCCAAAAGACATATCAACTCTTAACATTATGGTCACTTCAGAGAAATTCAAAAACTGATGTACAGTTTCATATTTCTAATGTGCTAAATCCTGAGAGAACCTAAACTTAGAAAATTACAACAAGAAAGTACAAAATACTATTCAAAATGGTCTTTTAAACTAAAAACAAATCCTAGATACTTATCAAAAAAGAAAAACCTGATAATGATGGCACTACTGCTGTATGAACTAGCAGATACTTTCAAATCTAAAGTATCAAACTCCTATTTGTTGCCATTGACTTTCCTTGATATTGTTGTACTTTCTAGCTTCTTGATCCATTAATACCTTGTTTAGCTTCCTCTGTCAGGAATTCATACTTTTGATGAATATATTAAAAACATTAAATTCCATTTTATGGTCTTCTCACTGTGAAGTAAAAGATGATTTTTGTGAACAAAAAAGGAACCTCTCCATGGGTTCTTCATCCTTACCTATTCTTTCAAACAGTTTTATATGATGCCACACTCAAATACAAGATTGAACACAATGTTAAACACCTTTAACACCTTTCCCATGCAAATAGGAAATGCTGGACATCTGTTTCCAAATCTCAATTCCCTAAAATGAAAAATAATGTAAACCTGCCATCCTTACACATCGTCTAATGATGTGTAAACCACCTCACTACCATAGTAAAGAAGAAATTATCCACACCAAGATATCTTCACATCAAACTCTCTCTACATTCAATGAAATGTTCAATCATCATAAACACAAGTAAAATTTGAAATCAAGATGAACTTTAAAACAAGACTTCATATATCAGTTTTTTTAAATTAAATAGTTACTCTGCAAATGTTGTTTTTACTTCAAACACCACCAAAACTTTACATTATGAAAAGGAAGATAAACTCAAAACCAATATCTCAATACTTTGTAAAATATGCTACAAACTGGGAAGAACTTGTCACAAGTTCAACATCCAATTGTAATTACCAGGAAAAACACCTACAACCATTTGTTGGAAGAGAAACAACCTACTATTATATGAAAGAAGACTTGTATAAAGTTTTTGAAGAAGCGATGATTTATGCTGAGGAAATAATAACAGTTTAGTTATCTTAAACTTGCTTTAGCAAAACTCTGTTACTAAACTAGCTTTCTGATATGGCTCATTTATCTTTTTCAGCTTTTTCTCTTCATGCATGCTACTTTATTGTTGGGACTTCCTTGGAAGGAATGCCCTTTTGTCACACGTGCATCTGCCTGCTTCTTATCTGTGTGATCTTTGCCTGTTTCCTTTCTTGCATCAGTCTGTTTTTCAGCATGTCCCTGATACATTAGTCTTTGGTGGAGGCTGCACCCAACATTCCTCAATCTTCTCTCTTGTTTCTCATCTTTCCCAGTCCTCTCTTGTTCCTCTTTATGTGTCTCGTTCTCCAGCATCTTCATCTCTACTGGTTCCACCTTCCCATGTTTCAGTTACAAGTTGTCAGATCACCCATCATCACCTTTTCAGACACCAGTATAATTGATGACTACCCTTTGAGTTCCAGCACATGGAGGTTTGGTTTGCTCATCTGTGGTGCTATTTCACTGCAGATTTTTGGATCATTCAGGTACTAGCAGAAGGACTGTTTATTTGTTCATCTATTCCTCCTCCATTATTTCCAGGTCCCATTTCTTTCCTTTCTTAGGATCTACTTTCTCGCCAGCATCTCTCTGAGGAAGTTCAGGATCTCATGAGGAAGGATGCTATAAAACAAGTGTTTCACACTTCTCTAGGATTTTATTCCCATCTGTTTGTTTTCCCCAAGAAAACAGGGGATTAGTGTCCAGTTATAGAACTCTTTCACCTCAGCCACTTCATCATCCTCCCACATTTCACAATGAAGTCTTTCTCACTCTTAGATAGTTATTTACTCCAGGACTTAGATGACTAAGGTCAACATTTCAGATACTTACCTTCATATCCCTAGTTCTCCTGCAGGGTTGGGTGTTTCAGTTATTCGTTCTCCCATTCGGTCTGGTATTTGCTCCATATACCTTTTGTAATGTAGTCAGAGCCTTTACCAATCATATTCACGATCTGGGACTGTGACTTCACCATTACATAGACAACTGGCTCTTTCCCAACAAGCCTCTCACAACTATACCCATTTCATCGTTCAGGAGCAGCTCGTTTGAGATGGCTTATCAAACTAGAGAAGTTCCATCTCTCCTCCTCCCAGTATCTTATTCATCTGGGAGTGTTTTTCAACACCTATCTCGGCAGAGCATTCTCATCTATGTTAGAAGGATATGGAGCACTTGGTTTCCATAGCTAACATTTCTTCTTCTCTTCCTGCACATGAGGTTCTCTCTTTTGAGGACCTGGGCTTCCATGGAATTCCTTGTCTCTTAGAGTCATACTCACGTGTGTTGCCTTTAATGGGTTTTGCATGATGAATGGAACCTTGTTTGGGATCATTTGGGCTCCTCCCCTTTTTTTTTTGTCCACTCTCCAAATAGACCTTGTCTGGTGGCTCGATAGAGCCACCATCTCGGCTGGCATTCCTCTTCCTCCTTCCTGTCTTGAGCTGCATCTCTTTACAGATGTTTATCTTACAGGATTAAGGGTGTATTTGGATTTTCAGGAGATCAAATCTACCCAACACATCAACCTGTTGGAGCTTCTGGCTGTTTGTTACGTGTTGGATCACTTCCTGCCTATAGCACGTGGGCACCTGATCATGATTCTTTCTGACAATTTGACATTGTCTTTTACTTCAATTGTCAGGGTAGCATCTGGTCTTATTTGCTTTGTTTTTGAACACTGAATCTCCTTTTCTGGGCCCAATCTTGGCAAGTCCATCTTGCTTGTCAAACCCTGGGTGTTTGGAATTTTGTGGCAGGTCATCTCTCTCTTGTCCCAACAAGATTTTACCAGTGGAATAGTCTTTTGCTCCTCAAGTGTTCTGGTGGTTATGATCCCATCTGCGTGCTTTCTTTCTGAATATCTTTGCCACACAGCTCAATAGCAAACTTTCCTTCTGCTAGTCTTTGTTTCCACATCCCTTGGCTGTGGATGTGTTCAGTCAGAATTGGTATAATCTTTACCTGTATGCTTATCCTCTCATCCTTCTTCTTCCCTGCATTCTTTCTCTTATTCAAACCACTCCTCGTCAAGACCTTTTCATTGCTCTATTCTGGCCTGCAGAACCATGGTATCCACTCTTGAATGTTCTTCAGTCATCTCCTCCTGTACCTGTTCCTCTTCTCCCCGATCTCATCTCTGGCAACCTCATTCCTCTATCTTTCATCCTGCTGTAGCCACACTTCATCTTCACGTGTGGGTTTTTGTCCTGTCCCTTGTAAGTCATTCTACACTCTCTACATGAGTAGCTTTCTTTCTTGTTCTGTCTAGTCTTCTTACTTGTCAGTTTACCAGCATAAGTAATACATTTTCCATTGCTGGTCTTTGCATTGTGGCTTCTCTCCTTCCCAACCAACTGTTCCCCACCTTTCCAATTATTTAACTTGGCACTTCGACAATGGTTCATCTTTTTCTACCATTGCTAGATATAGAGCAGGATTATCCAATACTTTTGATTTTTCCTATTTCTTCCATATATTTTTCTCTCCTACTTCATTCTTTTCTTCTGCTTCATCCTTCCCATTCAATTGCCCCACCAAATTGGAACCTGAACATTGTCCTTATCATTCCCATTTTTTTGAGCCTTTGATATTTTGCTCTTTGTATCATTTCTCTCTCAAGACTTATTTTTGACTCCTCTTTGCTTGTGGATGTTATAGTTTAGATGTCTTTGCTATTGATGATTCCTGAATTCTTTATCAGAACTAGTATGTTCTTCTCTATCCTAATAATAGTGTTTCCCCCCCCCCCAAATGTTCACAGTGCAGGAAGAGAACAGCACATTCACACTTGTTTCTCATCTGTGTTCCCATTGTGATCCCAATCATCTTCATTGTCTTGTCTCACACATGGCTTCTTTTCATGGCTCCTGTTCTCACTTTTTTATTCAATGGAACTCCTCCTCTTCCTGGAATCTCGCTTCTGTAACCCTTACCAGATGGCTGCATTAACTTATTCATCTGGCTGGCCTATGCATCATTGTCCAAAGATTCTCGTAGCATCTTCCAAGTTTCCTCTCACCAGATATGTTATCTCACCTTTTTATCTGGCTGCTCACTTTTGTTGTTCTTTAGAGGAGACAGAGCAGGTTGCCATGTGGAATACATCTTACACTCTTGTAGCACACTACCTACATCACTTGGATGTCTCTTCCTCATCTAGCTATTACTTGCTTCCCATTGCCATTCTCCATACCCCATATAGGCTCACTTTTTTATCTCTTACCTTTACCGTGGTCCTCTTCTACACCCTTAGATCCCAGTCTGTAGTGAGTGGGGTCTGTCCAGGTATACTTTAACTATAAATCTGCACCATATGGCCTTACAGTTCTATAACACTCACTTAAGAGATGGGTGTTCTAAGAGACCACTAATGCCTTGTGGCATCTTCCTTCATAATTAAGGCCTGCACCAGACTTTATGAACTACTACGTGAACTACTATGAGTACAGCAGTGTCAGGATTACTGCCTATCCCTCAGGTTCGAGTTGAATAAACTGGGACTGGCCTGCTTTTCAAAATAAGATTTTCATGGTCACCCATTGCACTCTCTTAGGGTGCTACATTCCTCCAGACTCCCCGCTGCATTGTTACTCATCCTTGTTCCAGTTGATTACAGGTGTCCTTGCCACTTACCAGTTCCTAACTGCTGGGTGACAGACTATGGAGGCTTTCTCTTAAGTGTGACCAATTACACTCAGTCAAGAGTAGGGTGGTGGTGTCCTGTTAGTGAACATGGTGAATACTCTCCTCCTGCCGTGGAGAAGACAAATACCTGATGCTTCCTGTTTTGGACTAGATAAATTCACCAGATACAGTTCACCCCTCTGGGTGGCTTTCCCCCATCCTACTGCTGCCTGAATATTGGTTCCTAGGCAGTTTGGTGTTGGATTGGAATAGGACCAGCCAACATAAGTCCTCACACATGCAGTTGGAAGGGACCTCCTCCTATGAAGGAATGGAGCAAAAATTCACGATTCCATCATCACATTTGCATTCCCTCTTCCTACTGTTATTCAGATGTTTGGTTCCAAGGTGGCCTGGCTTTGTTGTGTACTGGGTCTGTACACATGGCCTGGCTGGTTTGTTGGAATGGAAGTTGTTTCTCCCTGATGCTTCCTGGTCATCAGATGAAGACAGTTGGGATCTTCCTCCTACTGCATACTGGAAGACAAATACCCAATGCTGCCTGGTTTTGGACTGGATTTGACCCACCAAATATGGTCTGACATACCTTAGCTACTTTACACCATCTGGCTTTTCCAATTACAGGTTGTGTATGTGTCATTTTTGCCCAATTTAGTGACACATAACTTGACAAAAGGGTGAAGAGTATACTTGGTACAGATGGGATGCTGTCTCTCACGAATGTGATCTTATACATTAGGGTGTCACACTATTTGGGTTCTCTTAGGGTGTCTTCTAAAGAGTGCACATCTAGGTAACTTTTGCACTGGTCCCTCCACCTTTTCAATGTGGGATTCTAGCTATTATATGGGTGGAGGTAAGGTATCATATCCAAAGTTAACATTTCCCTAATTGAAAATGTATTTTTGATAGATACTTACTGCTCACACTTCCTACCCATCTTTCCCACTTCTGGAGTATCATTTTTTACCTGATGTCAGAGATCAGTGCTGTATAGTATAGAGGGAGTCAGCTCCACTAGGAGGGTGTGTCACACTCCTGGTGGTGGAGGGTTGTTGCATGTATTTGCATGCTACAGCTCAATTATACCATGTGAAGTTGTGTGGGAACATGAAGGCTTGTGGTGAATGAAAATTATGCATATAGAGGGCAGCACAAAATGTGTGTAGGTTAGTATCTATTGTAAATACATTTTTAGTTTAGGAAAATGTTAACATTCATAACCTGGGGTAGACACCAAATTCTAGACATGGCTCATAACTGTAAAATAAGAAAACCCAAAATTTTTCTACTCTAGTATACACCACATCAAATCAGCATAAATTGACATTTGCTTTCCCAGATCATTCATTCACATTTATGACTTTTAACTATAAACAACCACTGCACATTCTCATACTTCTAAAACTATAGCCACAGTAATGACAATGGCCCATCATCAGGTCCATGCTACCAATAAAAGCACCTGCAACACGTATACTACAGTCACTTAAAGATGCCCCATCAGGAAACAAGTTGGGGGCAGGTTATAGAGAACTTCAGTCCTATCATATTTCTGTAACCGAGATTTTAAATAAAATATCCTTATGTTATTCTCTGATAGTTTCAAGTACTATTTTCCTCTTGGATTGTAGTTTACATTTACAATGTCACTTGAGTTGTAATAATCAACTAACCTTGCGTGTTTACTAAAGTTCAATTGTTTGATAGGCTAAAAGTATGTTAAGATTTTAGTCATCATGAATGCTAAATTTTGAATTCCAGAGAATAAATACAGAAAGTTTTAAAAGAAGATACTCATAATATTGACAACTATACTGAGACTGATTGAAAACTCCACAGCAAATTTAACAATAGAGTATTATAGGGCAGTGTTTCTTGACTTTTTGATACCAGGTACCAGCTCACTGCCTCCATAAACTGTTGTGTACCACTAAGATATAAGTACAATGAAAAAAACATTATTACTTGCATACTAATGTTTTGACTGTTTTCATGAAATCCAATGTATCGGTAAGGTGTTTGAAAAACACTATTGTAAGCCATAAAGTTTTGTTATCAAAAGATTATGTAATGCACCATGTATTGAGTTGTGGATTGTATTTCCTTTATGCATGTCATAAAATTACTATTACTGGAGGTGGATGGTCTTGTGTTATTGGAAAGCAGTGTAATGTAGCTCTTTGGAATAGAGTTAGTAGTGATTACAACTTTTTTCCCACCTTCTTGAACTTGTGTAATTCTTTAAAAATAGGTCAAAGTATTATAAACTTGTATTACTTAAGCTACATCTACTATCAAGTTGTCTAGGTTTTAATACATTTCCTAATTTTTCTAAACAGTGGAGAAGATGGACTAAAAGAATACTTGGAGGTCAAAACGGTAATGAAACTTATTTTCTTTTTCGATAACATAATATTCTGGGACAACATGGAACCTTATTGGTCCATCTTGGCTATTCCATCCTCAAAACTAAATTAAAATGATTGAAAATAATAATAATAAAATTTTAAACCCAGCCCTTTTCATTCATATACTTATCAAGCTTTTTTCTTAAACCAACTTAAATTTACTGCCTCTACAACATCTGAAGGCAACCCATTCTAAAGACCAACCACCCTCTTAGAAACATAACTGTCTTAGCTGAAGATGACTCCTAACTTGCCAAAATTTATATTTGTGTCCCTTAGTCTTACTATTCTCATTGTCAAATATATATAAAAAAAAAAAAAAA